AGTGCATGGCATGCATCTTTATATGTTAGATACTGCTGCTCATTCACATAAGTAGACAAAGCGCCAGTAAAATTATCCAACAACAGTCGAAGATAAAAACACTCACAACACTTGGATTGACTGTAAATACTTGTCCGAAGGTGTTTGATTTGAATAAATTGAGATATGCTTCAACTGGTGAGCCTTGCTTGCAGGACATCCATTGTTTTGTTTGAGCCCATATAAAATAGCATAGTACTTGTGAAGAGAGTAATATTTGCGCTATGGCACTAAAAATATTCGTACAATTACAAAATTCAAAAATTCAGTGAGTGTAGTTTTTGGTTGATTTATAGCACGATCAGTCGCTCCCTCGTTCATGAAAAATACACGCTGACCGTTTTCAAAGGTAACGGCTAACTGAACAACTGATAGATCCCGTTCATAAATACATACGTCAAGCAGCATATGAGCATCAAATACCCAGGTGAATATGGCACCACCCAACGAYTGTCAATGTCAATGTCTGTGTTTCTGATGTTTTTAACAAATTATTGTCTACCATTATCCGGATTCCTTCCATGATATATTGGATATCCGTTGGCAGTTGGGACCGTATCATTGTTGAAATATTTTGGGAAATTTTTGTCATAGTACTTTCCATCTGTCATGAAATTACTACAACACTACAATACAACAACCACACGATTATCAACGAGACGGTTCGTAATCAGCTAATATTCAACACCCAAACCATCAAAAGGGATTGATCCGACCGGGATCGGGCTCTTACCGTTTTCATCCGTGAAGCAAGTCAGTCGTTCGCGGTATTCAGGTTTTTTTTTTCTTTTTCTTATCCGCAACAAACACCCCAATTTCTTTTTTTTTTATATTAAAAAAACCAAGTGACGGGAGTGACGTGAAACACCGAGTTCGTCAACAGTTTCAATTGTTCAACTAAAATTAATAAATATTTTATTAAGAGTGTGTGATAGAACGATCCGTTTTTTTATTTGACAGAAGTATCGATATCACGTAAGTATA